GTGTGACAGCGCGTGTCCCTGCTGGGGGGACTGTGACAGTAAATGCACGGGAAAGATCAGACGGTTTTGATAGTCCTGGGATTGATGACTCTGCTGGTAGAGATGACAGTGCAAGAGTTTGTTCTTCTAAGTCTGCCACCCTTCCCCAACAGGAATTTCTACATTGCTGAAGCAGTCCTGGGACTCCTTGGACATTCAGATAAAACTTGTTAAAGGGATGTAGGTTTCAATCCAAAGCAGTGGTAATGTGGAGGGTATGTAAGGAAATGTCACTTTTCAGTCCTGCCGCAGAACTCTTAATGCTGGAATCTAGTGGCTCTTTGTGCAGGGTGATTATTAATCCGTGTCAGAAGTCAATGTTTCCTGTGTCCTGTTTGCACCTCAGGAGTTGTTGGAGGGATGGCAATTGCTTCTTCAGGTCTCCTTCCATAGTAACCCCCAGGAAGCAGCAGTGGGGGTGGAGGAGCTGTGCTTGGCAGCTGCTGGACTATTGTTCATGATGTGTATTTTGGGGTTTGCTAAACACTTGTCTCTTGGAAAACTTCTGCGTGTAACATTATTTAATGAGTTTCTTCAGCCAAAACATAAGATACGGTGTGGTCAGTACTCCACAGCAAATGGTCTGTTAAAAGAGAGACTTGAGACATGCTTTTACTGTTGTACATTTGTATTTACCCCCAGTACATGCAGTGCTTTTTGATTTGCTGGTACAGAAATCTGCAACCCTTTGTGGACGGGACAAGAGCAGCCTGCTGTTGTGTTAGTTCCCCATCAGTTTTTGGTTGCTGCTCCTGTATGTGCATTTCCACTTCATAAATTTTCCCTGAACAACTCCTTGCAGCCTGGTACTGGGAAAGGACTCTTGTTAGTCTCTGTTTGTGTCCACCTCAGCGGAACAAAGCTTTTCAGGAAAAGTGCTAGGAGTGCTGGTAGGCGGGCAGCCAGGTGGCTGTGAGTGGGCAGTGTGCTCGTGCTGCCTGGAAGGCTTCAGTAGAGAGGTGATCCTTGCACTTGGCATTGGTGAGGCTGCTCGTGTACTGTGTCCAGTTCTGCCCTGCCCCCCCAGACAGGAGACATGAGTGTACTGGAGATAGGCCAGCGTAGGGCCACTGAGGTGCCTGAGGGTCTGGAACACCTCTCCAGAGAGGAAAGCTGAGGGTGAGGAGACTCTTTAGTCTAGAGATGAGAGGGCTTGGAGGGAATCTCGTCAGTGTATGTGAAAGCTGGAAGTGAGGATGCAGTTGAGGACAAGAGGCATTGAGTACAAAGTGGGGTTCGAGAGGTTCCATCTAAACGTCAGGCAGCACTTTGCAGTGGAGGTAACTGAGCAGTAGCGGAGGTCGACCAGAGAGGGACTGGAGTCTTTTCTTTGGAGTTGTTCAGAAGCCATCTGGATCTGGTCTGTCCTGGATAATGTGCTCTCGGTGTCCGTGCTGGAGCAAGGGGGTTGTACCAGATGAGCTCAGAGGTCCCTTTCCGTCTTAAATTGTTCCGTGATTTTCTTTTTTGGGCTCCTTGGAAAGGCACGTCCTATTGGCAAATACAGCTTTAGGACTGAGCAGCGCAGATTGCTTGGCGTTGGGATGTCTTGGTGTTTGTTGGAGTGATACCACTGCTGGAACTCTTGGTGGGAGTTCCTTGTCCTGAGAAGAGTTTTGGCCTGGTAATGCTGTAGTTGCTTCTGCTAGTAACAAATGTCCATTATGGCCTTGTGTTGCAATTGATTAGAAAGATACTGAAGTGCTTCCTGTATCCCTTGAAACTGCAATTGCTCAGAGGTGGTGGTTTTGTTTTGCACAACCAGTGACACTCTTTTCCTCATGCTGCGAATGCTTTCCTCATCATGTTCTCTTCAGGACACTCGGGATGAAACAGCTGTGCTTTGGCTCGATGAAACTCAGGATGGGATTCAGAAGGCTAACAAGGACACTGAAGAGTCACAGAGATGTAAGCATTGTGGCAAATACCGTGGTTCAATGCCATTGTCAACCAAATATTCGTCACCAAATGAAAGAATGCGAGCAAGAAATGTACACATGCAAAGGAAATTAAAATACAAGTGTTTGCTTCAGGTAGGTGTAGAAGTTTTTTCTTTCAACAATGAATGTCACAGCCTTTCAATTTCAATTCTTTCAATCTTTTTGGAAGGATATGTCATTGTTTCAGTTGTGTTGTGACTGGGTTACATCCTAGGCAGATATACCTATTGAATCTCTGACCAAGTGTTTGACATTAGCAGAT